TATCTTAAGATACTAACAAGGTTAGGTAAGGTCGGTGTTTTCTATGAATCTTTTTAAGGGTATCTATTATGTTAAGTATGACACCTATGCACATATTTAATAAGTCAATATTGACTTTACGAATTTGCGAGAACGGGTTGCATATTAATGGCTGCCGCAATATTTGCTTGGTTATGCTCCCTCATCCCACAGGACGAGTGTGTCCCGGGCCACCTGGCCGTCACCCGTCACCCGTCACACTCGCACTAGTTCACGAGGGGTCAAGTACCTCGGTGATTATGACTGTGGGAACCAGTGAACTCTGAGCACTGCTTACCTATCACTGCAGATAGGTGAGCAGTGCTAATTGCCACACAGTTGATCAGCTGGTAAAGTAATCAAAGTAATAACAGGATGAGTGACGCTGCCCAATATACTCGACCCATTACCTCGACCCTCGGGGCAAAATTAAAAATGAAACATGACCCCAGGGGACAGCAGAGGTGGTGGGGGTGTGGAGGGGAGGGAGGGTTGGTGGGTGGGGTCCACGCCTGGGGAGGTGTCTTGGGGGGCAAGGCAGGCCACGATGTGTGGGGGCGGTGGGGGGGGGGGGGGGTGGGGGGGTGGGGGGGGACGGAAGGAAATAGCGTCATTACCTGCAGGATGAGGTAGCGGGGGGGGGGGTTGGTGGGGGCATTGTTTTTGAACAGTAACAAACTTAGATTTATTCCTAATAGGGGTTAAGACAGGTAGGGTGACAACAGGTAACAGTTAAGACAGGTAGGGTGACAACAGGTAACAGTTAAGACAGGTAGGGTGGCAACAGGTAACAGGTAAGACAGGCAGGATGACAACAGGTAACAGTTAGGACAGGTAGGATGACAACAGGTAACGGGACAGGTAGGGTGACAACAGGTAACAGGTAAGACAGGTAGGGTGGCAACAGGTAACAGTTAAGACAGGTAGGGTGACAACAGGTAACAGGTAAGACAGGTAGGGTGACAACAGGTAACAGTTAAGACAGGGTAGGGTGACAACAGGTAACAGTTAGGACAGGTAGGGTGACAACAGGTAACAGTTAGGACAGGTAGGGTGACAACAGGTAACAGTTAGGACAGGTAGGGTGACAACAGGTAACAGTTAGGACAGGTAGGGTGACAACAGGTAACAGTTAAGACAGGGTAGGGTGACAACAGGTAACAGTTAGGACAGGTAGGGTGACAACAGGTAACAGTTAGGACAGGTAGGGTGACAACAGGTAACAGTTAGGACAGGTAGGGTGACAACAGGTAACAGTTAGGACAGGTAGGGTGACAACAGGTAACAGTTAGGACAGGTAGGGTGACAACAGGTAACAGTTAGGACAGGTAGGGTGACAACAGGTAACAGTTAGGACAGGTAGGGTGACAACAGGTAACAGTTAGGACAGGTAGGGTGACAACAGGTAACAGTTAGGACAGGTAGGGTGACAACAGGTAACAGTTAGGACAGGTAGGGTGACAACAGGTAACAGTTAGGACAGGTAGGGTGACAACAGGTAACAGTTAGGACAGGTAGGGTGACAACGGGTAACAGTTAGGACAGGTAGGGTGACAACAGGTAACAGTTAGGACAGGTAGGGTGACAACAGGTAACAGGTAGGGTGACAACAGGTAACAGTTAGGACAGGTAGGGTGACAACAGGTAGCAGTTAGGACAGGTAGGATGACAACAGGTAACAGTTAGGACAGGTAGGGTGACAACAGGTAACAGTTAGGACAGGGTAGGGTGACAACAGGTAACAGTTAGGACAGGTAGGGTGACAACAGGTAACAGTTAGGACAAGTAGGATGACAACAGGTAACAGTTAGGACAGGTAGGGTGACAACAGGTAACAGTTAAGACAGGTAGGGTGACAACAGGTAACAGTTAGGACAGGTAGGGTGACAACAGGTAACAGTTAGGACAGGGTAGGGTGACAACAGGTAACAGTTAGGACAGGTAGGGTGACAACAGGTAACAGTTAGGACAAGTAGGATGACAACAGGTAACAGTTATTACAGGTAGGGTGACAACAGGTAACAGTTAAGACAGGTAGGGTGACAACAGGTAACAGTTAGGACAGGTAGGGTGACAACAGGTAACAGTTAGGACAGGTAGGGTGACAACAGGTAACAGTTAAGACAGGTAGGGTGACAACAGGTAACAGTTAGGACAGGTAGGGTGACAACAGGTAACAGTTAAGACAGGTAGGGTGACAACAGGTAACATGACAGGTAGGGTGACAACAGGTAACAGTTAGGACAGGTAGGGTGACAACAGGTAACAGTTAAGACAGGTAGGGTGACAACAGGTAAGACAGGTAGGGTGACAACAGGTAAGACAGGTAGGGTGACAACAGGTAAGACAGGTAGGGTGGCAACAGGTAAGACAGGTAGGGTGGCAACAGGTAACGGGACAGGTAGGGTGACAACAGGTAACATGACAGGTAGGGTGACAACAGGTAACATGACAGGTAGGGTGACAACAGGTAACATGACAGGTAGGGTGACAACAGGTAACATGACAGGTAGGGTGACAACAGGTAACAGGTAAGACAGGCACCAGTGTTGTGGACGGGAAGACACAACAGGTAGCAAATACCGAGCACAGTTTTAACACAATATTGGACAGATACAAGAGATACAAGAGTGAGAATAGTTGTCACCGAGTATGGACCAGCAGGCCTCCCGCTCTTGTGCATTTAGGCCTATTGTCGGGGGGGGGGGAGCGGGGGTTGGGAAGGTATGAGATTACCTTGAGATGATTTCAAGGCTTAGCGACCCAGCGGCCCGTTCCTCGACCAGGCCTCCTCGTATCTGGACTGACCAACCAGGCTGTTGGACGCGGCTGTTCGCAGCCTGACGTATGAGTCACAGCCTGGTTGACCAAGTATCCTTTGGAGGTGCTTATCCAGTTCTTTCTTGAACACTGTGAGGGGTCTGCCAGTTATGCCCCTTATGTGTAGTGGAAGCGTGTTGAACAGTCTCGGGCCTCTGATGTTGATAGAGTTCTCTCTCAGAGTACATGTTGCACCTCTGCTCTTCAACGGGGGTATTCTGCACATCCTGCCATGCCTTCTGGTCTCATGTGGTGTTATTTCTGTGTGCAGGTTTGGGACCAGCCCCTCTAATATTTTCCACGTGTAAATTATTTTATATCTCTTCCGCCTGTGCTCAAGGGAATACAGTTTTAGGCTCTTTAGTCGGTCCCAATAGTTTAGATGTTTTACTGAGTGGATTCTAGCAGTAAAGGATCTCTGCACGCTCTCCAGGTCAGCAATTTCTCCAGCTTTGAAAGGTGCTGTCATTGTGCAGCAGTATTGTTAGGACAGGTAGGAGGACAACAGGTAACTGTTAGGTCAGGTAGGAGGACAACAGGTAACTGTTAGGACAGGTAGGAGGACAACAGGTAACTGTTAGGTCAGGTAGGAGGACAACAGGTAACTGTTAGGACAGGTAGGAGGACAACAGGTAACTGTTGTTATAATACCCATCATCATTCATGATGATGGATAATGGTATCGAAAATTATAACAATACTCAGTCAAAATACTAATAAGAACAACAATAATCTCTGTCTATGAGACAGAACGTGTGTGTGGAGTAGGCGGCACCTGGAGCTATGTGACTGTCAACCCTCAGCTGGGGTCCGCCTCAGTTCCACCTTTTAGGAAATATCGGCAGCTGTAGCGACCCCCCCCCCCTCTTATATTCGTGAAGTCTGTAATCGGGGGAGGTGATACCTGGTTGATGGGGTTCTGGGAGTTCTTCTACTCCCCAAGCCCGGCCCGAGGCCAGGCTTGACTTGTGAGAGTTTGGTCCACCAGGCTGTTGCTTGGAGCGGCCCGCAGGCCCACATACCCACCACAGCCCGGTTGGTCCGGCACTCCTTGGAGGAATAAATCTAGTTTCCTCTTGAAGATGTCCACGGTTGTTCCGGCAATATTTCTTATGCTTGCTGGGAGGACGTTGAACAACCGTGGACCTCTGATGTTTATTCAGTGTTTTCTGATTGTGCCTATGGCACCTCTGCTCTTCACTGGTTCTATTCTACATTTTCTTCCATATCGTTCACTCCAGTACGTTATTATTTTACTGTGTAGATTTGGTACCTGACCCTCCAGTATTTTCCAGGTGTATATTATTTGGTATCTCTCTCGTCTTCTTTCTAGTGAGTACATTTGGAGAGCTTTGAGACGATCCCAATAATTTAGGTGCTTTATTGCGTCTATGCGTGCCGTATATGTTCTCTGTATTCCCTCTATTTCGGCAACGTTAACGTTATTTTAACGTTTATTTTAACGTATTTTAACGGTGTTTAACGTTATTTTAACAAGTTTGTTCATTACTTCGTAATATAACATTTTCTTAGAGAGGGGGAGGGAAAGATGGGTAGGAAGGTGAAGAGGGTGAGAGAGAGAGAGTGGGTATAGTGGTCGAGGAGGCTGTTGGGGAGGAAGGTGTAAACTACAGGTGTATGGGGGGAGAGTTGTGAAAGAGGGCGGGGGAGGGGGAGAGACCCGGGAACTGCCGGGGACCACATCTATCTTATCTTGAGACGATTTCGGGGCTTTAGTGTCCCCGCGGCCCGGTCCTCGACCAGGCCTCCACCCCCAGGAAGCAGCCCATGACAGCTTTGTAACAGGTAGCATCAGGGTGACCTGGGTGTCCTAGGTAACAGGAGCATCAGGGTGAAAGAAACTCTGCCTATTGTTTCTCGCCGGCGCCCGGGATCGAACCCGGGACCACAGGATCACGCATTCAGTGTTCTGTCCACTCAGCCGCCGGCTTCCTCTAGTTTTAGTCAACTACGGGCTCACCATAGCCCGTGCTACTTGGAACTTTTTGTTCCAGGTAGCGAATCTTAAACAACTCCCTCTAGTTATAGTTATAAACAAGTTATAAACTAGCAACAATCCGGCGGAGTATCACACACATTACCTCCACTGTCAACATCTCTTGCTTTATTGACACACTTGTCTTGTCTCCCGGTGCTAACAGAGGCGGCAAGTTCGTGAGCGTCGGGGAGAAGATCCGCCTTCCTGATGACGTCACCATGGGCTATATTATAGGTAAGTCGTGACGTCATTGTCCTGGCAGCTTTCACTAGCCCAACCACTTGGGCTGGACGGTAGGGCGGCGGTCTCGCGTCATGCAGGTCGCTGTTCTATCCCCGACCGTCCAAGTGGTTGGGCACCATTCCTTCTCCCCGTCCCATCCTAAATCCTTATCCTGACCCCTTCCCAGTGCTATATAGGGTTAATGGCTTGGCGCTTTCCCCTGATAGATAGTTCCCCTCTTGTCCTGGGGTCCCTGGGTGTCCTGGAGTCCCTGGGTGTCCTGGGGTCCCTGGGTGTCCTGGGTGTCCTGGGGTCCCTGGGTGTCCTGGGGTCCCTGGGTGTGCTGGGGTCCCTGGGTGTCCTGGGGTCCCTGGGGTCCCTGGGTGTCCTGGGTGTCCTGGGTGTCTTGGGGTCCCTGGGTGTCCCGGGGTCCCTGGGTGTCTTGGGGTCCCTGGGTGTTCTGGGGTCCCTGGGTGTCCTGGGGTCCCTGGGTGTCCTGGGGTCCCTGGGTGTCCTGGGGTCCCTGGGTGTCCTGGAGACCCTGGGTGTCCTGGGGTCCCTGGGTGTCCTGGAGTCCCTGGGTGTCCTGGGGTCCCTGGGTGTTCTGGATGTCCTGGGGTCCCTGGGTGTCCTGGGGTCCCTGGGTGTCCTGGGGTCCCTGGGTGTTCTGGATGTCCTGGGGTCCCTGGGTGTCCTGGGGTCCCTGGGTGTCCTGGGGTCCCTGGGTGTCCTGGGGTCCCTGGGTGTCCTGGGGTCCCTGGGTGTCCTGGGGTCCCTGGGTGCCTTGGGGTCCCTGGGTGTCTTGGGGTCCCTGGGTGTCCTGGGGTCCCTGGGAGTCCTGGGGTCCCTGGGAGTCCTGGGGTCCCTGGGTGTCCTGGGGTCCGTGGGTGTCCTGGGGTCCTGGTGTCCTGGGGTCCTGGGTGTCCTGGGGTCCCTGGGTGTCCTGGGGTCCCTGGGTGTCCTGGATGTCCTGGGGTCCCTGGGTGTCCTGGGGTCCCTGGGTGTCCTGGGGTCCCTGGGTGTTCTGGATGTCCTGGGGTCCCTGGGTGTCCTGGGGTCCCTGGGTGTCCTGGGGTCCCTGGGTGTTCTGGATGTCCTGGGGTCCCTGGGTGTCCTGGGGTCCCTGGGTGTCCTGGGGTCCCTGGGTGTCCTGGGGTCCCTGGGTGTCCTGGGGTCCCTGAGTGTCCTGGGGTCCCTGGGTGTCCTGGGGTCCCTGGGTGTCCTGGGTGTCCTGGGTGTCCCGGGGTCCCTGGGGTCCCTGGGTGTCCTGGGGTCCCTGGGTGTCCTGGATGTCTTGGGGTCCCTGGGTGTCCTGGGGTCCCTGGGTGTCCTGGAGTCCCTGGGTGTCCTGGGGTCCCTGGGTGTCCTGGGGTCCCTGGGTGTCCCGGGGTCCCTGGGTGTCCCGGGGTCCCTGGGTGTCCTGGGGTCCCTGGGTGTCCTGGGCTCCCACTGTCACCCACCACACCAACTACCAGTGTCACCCACCACACCAACTACCAGTGTCACCCACCACACCATCTACCAGTGTCACCCACCACACCAACTACCAGTGTCACCCACCACACCATCTCCCAGTGTCACCCACCACACCAACTACCAGTGTCACCCACCACACCATCTACCAGTGTCACCCACCACACCAACTACCAGTGACACCCACCACACCAACTACCAGTGTCACCCACCACACCATCTACCAGTGTCACCCACCACACCAACTACCAGTGTCACCCACCACACCATCTACCAGTGTCACCCACCACACCAACTACCAGTGTCACCCACCACACCAACTACCAGTGTCACCCACCACACCATCTACCAGTGTCACCCACCACACCAACTACCAGTGTCACCCACCACACCAACTACCAGTGTCACCCACCACACCAACTACCAGTGTCACCCACCACACAATTACCAGTGTCACCCACCACACAATTTCCCAGTGTCACCCACCACACCAACTACCAGTGTCACCCACCACACCATCTACCAGTGTCACCCACCACACCATTTACCAGTGTCACCCACCACACCAACTACCAGTGTCACCCACCACACCAACTACCAGTGTCACCCACCACACCAACTACCAGTGTCACCCACCACACCAACTACCAGTGTCACCCACCACACCAACTACCAGTGTCACCCACCACCAACTACCAGTGTCACCCACCACACCATCTACCAGTGTCACCCACCACACCAACTACCAGTGTCACCCACCACACAATTTCCCAGTGTCACCCACCACACCAACTACCAGTGTCACCCACCACACCAACTACCAGTGTCACCCACCACACCAACTACCAGTGTCACCCACCACACCAACTACCAGTGTCACCCACCACACCAACTACCAGTGTCACCCACCACACAATTTCCCAGTGTCACCCACCACACCAACTACCAGTGTCACCCACCACACCAACTACCAGTGTCACCCACCACACCAACTACCAGTGTCACCCACCACACCATCTACCAGTGTCACCCACCACACCAACTACCAGTGTCACCCACCACACCATCTACCAGTGACACCCACCACACCATCTACCAGTGTCACACCACCACACAATTTCCCAGTGTCACCCACCACACCAACTACCAGTGTCACCCACCACACCAACTACCAGTGTCACCCACCACACCATCTACCAGTGACACCCACCACACCAACTACCAGTGTCACCCACCACACCAACTACCAGTGTCACCCACCACACCATCTACCAGTGACACCCACCACACCATCTACCAGTGTCACCCACCACACAATTTCCCAGTGTCACCCACCACACCAACTACCAGTGTCACCCACCACACCAACTACCAGTGACACCCACCACACCAACTACCAGTGTCACCCACCCACAATTTCCCAGTGTCACCCACCACACCAACTACCAGTGTCACCCACCACACCATCTACCAGTGACACCCACCACACCAACCACCAGTGTCACCCACCACACCATCTACCAGTGTCACCCACCACACCAACTACCAGTGACACCCACCACACCAACTACCAGTGTCACCCACCACACCAACTACCAGTGTCACCCACCACACCAACTACCAGTGTCACCCACCACACCATCTACCAGTGACACCCACCACACCAACCACCAGTGTCACCCACCACACCATCTACCAGTGTCACCCACCACACCAACTACCAGTGTCACCCACCACACCATCTACCAGTGACACCCACCACACCAACTACCAGTGTCACCCACCACACCAACTACCAGTGTCACCCACCACACCATCTACCACCCACCACACCATCTACCAGTGTCACCCACCACACAATTTCCCAGTGTCACCCACCACACCAACTACCAGTGTCACCCACCACACCAACTACCAGTGACACCCACCACACCAACTACCAGTGTCACCCACCACACCATTTCCCAGTGTCACCCACCACACCAACTACCAGTGTCACCCACCACACCCTACCAGTGTCACCCACCACACCAACTACCAGTGTCACCCACCACACCAACTACCAGTGACACCCACCACACCAACTACCAGTGTCACCCACCACACCAACTACCAGTGTCACCCACCACACCATCTACCAGTGACACCCACCACACCAACCACCAGTGTCACCCACCACACCACTACCAGTGTCACCCACCACACCATCTACCAGTGTCACCCACCACACCAACTACCAGTGTCACCCACCACACCAACTACCAGTGACACCCACCACACCAACTACCAGTGTCACCCACCACACCATCTACCAGTGTCACCCACCACACCAACTACCAGTGTCACCCACCACACCAACTACCAGTGTCACCCACCACACCATCTACCAGTGTCACCCACCACACCAACTACCAGTGTCACCCACCACACCAACTACCAGTGTCACCCACCACACCATCTACCAGTGTCACCCACCACACCAACTACCAGTGTCACCCACCACACCAACTACCAGTGTCACCCACCACACCAACTACCAGAGTCACCACCACACCATCTACCAGTGTCACCCACCACACCAACTACCAGTGTCACCCACCACACCAACTACCAGTGTCACCCACCACACCAACTACCAGTGTCACCCACCACACAATTTCCCAGTGTCACCCACCACACCAACTACCAGTGTCACCCACCACACCATCTACCAGTGTCACCCACCACACAATTTCCCAGTGTCACCCACCACACCAACTACCAGTGTCACCCACCACACCAACTACCAGTGTCACCCACCACACCATCTACCAGTGTCACCCACCACACCAACTACCAGTGTCACCCACCACACCAACTACCAGTGTCACCCACCACACCAACTACCAGTGTCACCCACCACACCAACTACCAGTGTCACCCACCACACCAACTACCAGTGACACCCACCACACCAACTACCAGTGTCACCCACCACACCACTACCAGTGTCACCCACCACACCAACTACCAGTGTCACCCACCACACCAACTACCAGTGTCACCCACCACACCAACTACCAGTGTCACCCACCACACCAATTTACCAGTGTCACCCACCACACCAACTACCAGTGTCACCCACCACACCAACTACCAGTGACACCCACCACACCAACTACCAGTGTCACCCACCACACCAACTACCAGTGTCACCCACCACACCATCTACCAGTGACACCCACCACACCAACCACCAGTGTCACCCACCACACCATCTACCAGTGTCACCCACCACACCATCTACCAGTGTCACCCACCACACCAACTACCAGTGTCACCCACCACACCATCTACCAGTGTCACCCACCACACCATCTACCAGTGTCACCCACCACACCAACTACCAGTGCCAAGAACACGACCAAACACTGGACATACTGACGTAGTGGCAGCAGACGTGAGCAGTGTTCCGGGTGGGAGTTATAATGACGGCGTGTGTCTGGTGTGTTGCAGAACACTTGTTGAGGAAGAAGCTGACGGTGGTGGAGGAGTTTCACTCACACCTGGAGCCCATGAGGTTCGTCAACACTGACTCGCTGCCTCGCCAGGTGTGTATAGGTACCCCTCTCAGGGGCTGTGTTGTGGTGTATATTGAGTGAGTAATGGGTCAAGATGACGCGCTAGCAGAGTACACAATACACTCTTGTCTCTCCGTCGACAGGTGAGCTTCAGCTACTCGCAGTACGGCAGCGAGATGAACGTTCTTCCAGTCGACGGCCTCGACACCCGCCTCGACCCCACCAGGTATGGCACCGCCCTTTGTGTTCCTTTGGGGGTATGGCAGCCATGGTGGCGGCCATGGTGGCAGCCATGGTGGCAGCCATGGTGGCAGCCATGGTGGCAGCCATGGTGGCAGCCATGGTGGCAGCCATGGAGGCTGACCTGAGCGTGGTCTTGCTAGCGGGTGCTCTCGGTGCCTAGGCTCCCCCACTCAGATTTCCCTCTCCATCCACCTCTCAATTCCCTCTCTTCCCCTCTCACCGGTCCCTTCCCCATACCAGACGAGTCAAATGTCCCTACCCTTTATCTTGGAGGAGAAGGGGTTGAACATAATTTATCACTTTCCATAAACATTGCTCTGATGGGCCCCAGGCTCCAGTGGTCCACCACAGTGGCACCTTGTCCACTTGGCATAGCTGGGAGAGCTGACTCAACCTTCAAGAATTTCATATATCCTTCCACGGCAGATCATGGAAGGTGATTGGCGGTAGATAAGTGCCAAGTCCTTATTGGCCCTGGAGAGCCAGACCTCAGGCCTAGTATCACAATGGTTGGGTGTAGCCAATTAATGGGTGGAGCCCTGGGGCTGTATTAGATTGTGGGAGGAGCAAATCCTTTCCACCAGTAAGCTGGTGAAACAAAATTTTGGTAGTGTGTCCTGGGAGTGTGTTGGGAATAGGGACTCGGGCCCGCATCCAAGGGGCTGAGGGCAGCCATCAACATCTTGGCCTCAGTGCGGTTTAAAGGTATTGTGCACTTGAGTATTCATGTCCTCGGTAGATATCCACTTTGCCCCTTTAGGTCATAGAGTAGGGTATATGTTCATTTGATTTCAATATATATGTTAAATTGATTTAATTTAAATAAAGTATTAAATCGGTTTTGATTGTTATGTAATCTTGGTCCCTTATGTTATTAAAGTTTGCAGTATCTATTGTGGTACATATATGTGTGGTATTTGGAAACCCCCATGTTCTCCTCCATTTAATAGATATTAAAGTTGCCCTTGGATTTAAATAAGTAAAGTAAATTAAACAAACTAATTCCCAAAATTTATTACTGAAGTTCATATTACCCGGGAGTCCATGACTACTGATTCCTGGCCTTCCTGGGGGATCAGTGATAGACACATCCAGGTATGGCTGGTCGGGAAGGTGGTGGCAGTGTTTTAATGATTTTTATTATAAGTTATAAATTAATAACCCCTATTCTTGTGGTGTCCCCCTCATTTAATACCCATCTTATATTCGTGCCAGTCCAGTGAGGGGTCATACTGGACTGTGACCGTGTTAAGCTGGGGTATTGAGTGTAGAAGGAGAAGGGTAGGAAAGATTCATTCAAGGCAAGTTTTAGGCGGTATTACAATGGTGGCAGCCATGGTGGCAGCCATGGTGGCAGTCATGGTGGCAGCCATGGTGGGAAGGGACGCGTAACCATGGAGGAGGAAGAGGGGGATAACCATGGTAGGAGGGGACAAGTATTCCATGAAGGGAGAGGATGGAAAACTTAATGGGATGGGACAGGTAACCTCAGAGTGATGGGACAGGTAACCTCAGAGTGATGGGACAGGTAACCTCAGAGTGATGGGACAGGTAACCTCAGAGTGATGGGACAGGTAACCTCAGAGTGATGGGACAGGTAACCTCAGAGTGATGGGACAGGTAACCTCAGAGTGATGGGACAGGTAACCTCAGAGTGATGGGGCAGGTAACCTCAGAGTGATGGGACAGGTAACCTCAGAGTGATGGGACAGGTAACCTCAGAGTGATGGGACAGGTAACCTCAGAGTGATGGGACAGGTAACCTCAGAGTGATGGGACAGGTAACCTCAGAGTGATGGGACAGGTAACCTCAGAGTGATGGGACAGGTAACCTCAGAGTGATGGGACAGGTAACCTCAGAGTGATGGGACAGGTAACCAAGGACAAGTGATCGCGAGGGAAGAGTCACGATCATGAAGCAACTTAAGAAAATCATTACCAAACTATTGGAGATTTTTTTAATATATATATATATATATATATATATATATATATATATATATATATATATATATATATATATATATATATATATATATATATATATATATAATAGTTTATAATTATAATGTAAAGCAAAATTTAATGTTGTTAAAGCTGTTAGTTAAAGATGCTAAAATTATATTATAAATATGAATAATAAGTTTAACAAAATTAGAAACTAATTATGTTCGTTTCATTCATTGCAGATTGCTCTCAGTTCATTGTCTGTTGTTCCCGAACTTCAACTTCTGTGCCACATAGCGTCGGGCTGACTGTGGTCAAGACAAAGGCACATTTGAAGGCATCACTTGTGCTTTAGTGTAAAACAAAAGAAAAATTGCTGTGATAATTATAACGAGGCCCTTGAAATTGTTAGCAAGTTGGCCTATATATACTGTATATAAATATATATATATATATTTTTTAATGTGATCAAGCTATTCGGTTGTTCATTGTAGGTCCTAGAAGCTGTGGTCAGGTGCTAGCGACTGTGCTACACTTCACTAGACTGTCTCCAACTGTTTACTGTGACCACTAGACTGTCTCCAACTGTTTACTGTCACAGTTCATCTGGTGTAGTGTGCACAGTTCCGGGAGACAGTCAGGGGAAGGTGAAGGAGTGCACGCCTCAGCTTTGGACAGTCAAGTCCTAAAATGGCTCTTCCAGGTTGCAAACTGATCTCCCGTCATCTGCAAGATAATCTTGTGACTAAAGTATAGAATACACTCAATGTGAGCGAGTCTTTCCTCCTTAAGGTTGTAATATTTAAAGCTATTATGAGTTATATTAACATTAATGGTCCTATTGGTGTGACCAGTGATTCATTCTTCCACAATAGAATAGAATACAAATAAATGCAAGACACTTCCAATAGACTTGCAACGCTACTCACTTGAGGCTTTTACAAAGGTTAATACTTGAATTTGCTGACCCTTGAGATTATCTTAAGTTCATGTACTCACCTAGTAGGGATGTCTCACACACACACACACGTGTGTGTGTAATTACATAAGTGTGTTTGAATGCATGCTTGCAAGGGAATGGATTGATGCTGCAACTTGGTCACTGCTTCTACTGAGTATAGCAGATTGGATGGATGACAGAGAGGGAAAGAGGAGGCAAGTTAATGATAAACTGACTCAAGAACATTTCCCCCAATATAAGGGAATGTACTGAACACTATGAAAATACCCGAGATCGAAATCATTCGTCCGTTCTGGAAGTTTTATCGCTTTACCTTAATCTTCGCTCAATACCTTGTTAAGATGTTGTGTCAAATGCTGCAACAACGGCCTGGATGGTTTCCTCTAACAAGAAAGATACTAAAATATTGTGTTTGGATTTAGTGAAAAACAAAATTTTGTTAAAATTAGGATAATTATCCCATACTTTGTTTTCTGTACAATATGTTTGAGAGGTCATCCATTGCCGGGGATTTTGTACTCACTGTTAATGATTCTCCATTTTAAAAAAGACAATATTTTAATCCAAATGACTATGGACAATCTCTATTAAGCTAGTCAGATGTAAATGTCTTTATTTAAAAAATTGAAGCTATATTATGTCTGGTCAAAGAGAGAGATGTGTGGTGGTGGTTGTGAGGTCGGCCTCTCACAGCTCCTCGCTCCATGTATATATGTTTCCATTTCATCAGATGCACCAAAAATATAATCATAGTCACTGTTTACATTCTTATATTAGAGCAACACAACAAAATCACAGGAAATATAATAATTTTCATGTTAAGTGCATATGGTGCTCGGAGCCACAGATTTCTCTGTTTGCTTGTTTGGCATATTTGTATACAGGTAAGCCCTTGTGTACACCCTGGTACACTAGTGTACACCCTGGTACACTAGTGTACACCCTGGTACACTAGTGTACACCCTGGTACACTTGTGTACACCCTGGTACACTTGTGTACACCCTGCTACACTAGTGTACACCCTGGTACAGTAGTGTACACCCTGGTACACTAGTGTACACCCTGGTACAGTAGTGTACACCCTGGTACACTAGTGTACACCCTGGTACAGTAGTGTACACCCTGCTACACTAGTGTACACCCTGGTACACTAGTGTACACCCTGGTACACTAGTGTACACCCTGGTACACTAGTGTACACCCTGGTACACTAGTGTACACCCTGGTACACTTGTGTACACCCTGGTACACTAGTGTACACCCTGGTACACTTGTGTACACCCTGGTACACTAGTGTACACCCTGGTACACTTGTGTACACCCTGGTACACTAGTGTACACCCTGGTACACTAGTGTACACCCTGCTACACTTGTGTACACCCTGGTACACTAGTGTACACCCTGCTACACTAGTGTACACCCTGGTACACTTGTGTACACCCTGTTACACTTGTGTACACCCTGTTACACTAGTGTACACCCTGCTACACTAGTGTACACCCTGCTACACTTGTGTACACCCTGGTACACTAGTGTACACCCTGCTACACTAGTGTACACCCTGCTACACTTGTGTACACCCTGGTACACTAGTGTACACCCTGCTACACTAGTGTACACCCTGGTACACTAGTGTACACCCTGGTACACTTGTGTACACCCTGGTACACTAGTGTACACCCTGGTACACTAGTGTACACCCTGCTACACTTGTGTACACCATGGTACACTAGTGTACACCCTGCTACACTAGTGTACACCCTGCTACACTTGTGTACACCCTGTTACACTTGTGTACACCCTGTTACACTAGTGTACACCCTGGTACACTAGTGTACACCCTGCTACACTTGTGTACACCCTGTTACACTTGTGTACACCCTGGTACACTTGTGTACACCCTGTTACTTGTGTACACCCTGGTACACTAGTGTACACCCTGTTACACTTGTGTACACCCTGTTACACTAGTGTACACCCTGTTACACTAGTGTACACCCTGCTACACTAGTGTACACCCTGCTACACTAGTGTACACCCTGCTACACTAGTGTACACCCTGCTACACTAGTGTACACCCTGTTACACTTGTGTACACCCTGTTACACTAGTGTACACCCTGGTACACTAGTGTACACCCTGCTACACTTGTGTACACCCTGCTACATTAGTGTACACCCTGCTACACTTGTGTACACCCTGCTACACTAGTGTACACCCTGCTACACTTGTGTACACCCTGTTACACTAGTGTACACCCTGCTACACTAGTGTACACCCTGCTACACTAGTGTACACCCTGGTACACTTGTGTACACTCCCACTACACTGTGATAAGTAGTGTGCCTTAGAAGGATAAATCCCATAGAGGTCTATTTTTAACTACTGTATTTTAAGAAAGATATTCTTCCATTTTAGAAATAAACGTCCCACAAATATTTTTAGACAACCATGAATTACTATATAATTATTATTATTAATGTAAATTACTGAAGATACTGATTTATAACTGTAAAATTTGTAAATAAAATCTATTAATTAAATTTTGTCTCTCAACATTTACTATTTTATAAAAATCTAAAATATTGCCATCAAATATAGTTTATTAACAATGGGAAATAATTCGATGTTCAATAGCGATAAATTACAATGTCTTCACTACATGAGAAACCGTAGGGTGAGTACTGTGTTAAAATTACACAGTACACATAGTATGGTGTACTATGAGTACACTATACTATGGCGGTGTGTCCACTCACAGGATGAGTGGCGCTGCCCAATACTGTCACTATGGTGGTGTGTCCACTCACAGGATGAGTGGCGCTGCCCAATACTGTCACTATGGTGGTGTGTCCACTCACAGGATGAGTGGCGCTGCCCAATACTGTCACTATGGCGGTGTGTCCACTCACAGGATGAGTGGCGCTGCCCAATACTGTCACTATGGCGGTGTGTCCACTCACAGGATGAGTGGCGCTGCCCAATACTGTCACTATGGTGGTGTGTCAACTCACAGGATGAGTGGTGCTGCCCAATACTGTCACTATGGGGGTGTGTCCACTCACAGGATGTGTGGTGCTGCCCAATACTGTCACTATGGCGGTGTGTCCACTCACAGGATGAGTGACGCTGCCCAATACTGTCACTATGGCGGTGTGTCCACTCACAGGATGAGTGACGCTGCCCAATACTGTCACTATGGGGGTGTGTCCACTCACAGGATGAGTGGTGCTGCCCAATACTGTCACTATGGCGGTGTGTCCACTCACAGGATGAGTGGCGCTGCCCAATACTGTCACTATGGCGGTGTGTCCACTCACAGGATGAGTGGCGCTGCCCAATACTGTCACTATGGCGGTGTGTCCACTCACAGGATGAGTGACGCTGCCCAATACTGTCACTATGGCGGTGTGTCACTCACAGGATGAGTGGCGCTGCCCAATACTGTCACTATGGCGGTGTGTCCACTCACAGGATGAGTGGCGCTGCCCAATACTGTCACTATGGCGGTGTGTCCACTCACAGGATGATTGGCGCTGCACAATACTGTCACTATGGCGGTGTGTCCACTCACAGGATGAGTGGCGCTGCCCAATACTGTTACTATGGCGGTGTGTCCACTCACAGGATGAGTGACGCTGCCCAATACTGTCACTATGGCGGTGTGTCCACTCACAGGATGAGTGACGCTGCCCAATTCTGTCACTATGGCGGTGTGTCCACTCACAGGATGAGTGGCGCTGCCCAATACTGTCACTATGGCGGTGTGTCCACTCACAGGATGAGTGACGCTGCCCAATACTGTCACTATGGCGGTGTGTTCACTCACAGGATGAGTGACGCTGCCCAATACTGTCACTATGGTGGTGTGTCCACTCACAGGATGAGTGGCGCTGCCCAATACTGTCACTATGGCGGTGTGTCAACTCACAGGGTGAGTGGCGCTGCCCAATACTGTCACTATGGCGGTGTGTCCACTCACAGGATGAGTGGCGCTGCCCAATACTGTCACTATGGCGGTGTGTCCACTCACAGGATGAGTGGCGCTGCCCAATACTGTCACTATGGCGGTGTGTCCACTCACAGGATGAGTGACGCTGTCCAATACTGTCACTATGGCGGTGTGTCCACTCACAGGATGAGTGGCGCTGCCCAATACTGTCACTATGGCGGTGTGTCCACTCACAGGATGAGTGGCGCTGCCCAATACTGTCACTATGGCGGTGTGTCCACTCACAGGATGAGTGGCGCTGCCCAATACTGTCACTATGGCGGTGTGTCCACTCACAGGATGAGTGACGCTGCCCAATACTGTCACTATGGTGGTGTGTCCACTCACAGGATGAGTGGTGCTGCCCAATACTGTCACTATGGGGGTGTGTCCACTCACAGGATGAGTGGTGCTGCCCAATACTGTCACTATGGCGGTGTGTCCACTCACAGGATGAGTGGCGCTGCCCAATACTGTCACTATGGCGGTGTGTCCACTCACAGGATGAGTGACGCTGCCCAATACTGTCACTATGGCGGTGTGTCCACTCACAGGATGAGTGACGCTGCCCAATACTGTCACTATGCCGGTGTGTCAACTCACAGGATGAGTGGCGCTGCCCAATACTGTCACTATGGCGGTGTGTCCACTCACAGGATGAGTGACGCTGCCCAATACTGTCACTATGGCGGTGTGTCAACTCACAGGATGAGTGGCGCTGCCCAATACTGTCACTATGGCGGTGTGTCCACTCACAGGATGAGTGACGCTGCCCAATACTGTCACTATGGCGGTGTGTCCACTCACAGGATGTGTGGTGCTGCCCAATACTGTCACTATGGCGGTGTGTCCACTCACAGGATGAGTGACGCTGCCCAATACTGTCACTATGGTGGTGTGTCCACTCACAGGATGAGTGGTGCTGCCCAATACTGTCACTATGGGGGTGTGTCCACTCACAGGATGATTGGTGCTGCCCAATACTGTCACTATGGCGGTGTGTCCACTCACAGGATGAGTGGCGCTGCCCAATACTGTCACTATGGCGGTGTGTCCACTCACAGGATGAGTGACGCTGCCCAATACTGTCACTATGGCGGTGTGTCCACTCACAGGATGAGTGACGCTGCCCAATACTGTCACTATGGCGGTGTGTCAACTCACAGGATGAGTGGCGCTGCCCAATACTGTCACTATGGCGGTGTGTCCACTCACAGGATGAGTGACGCTGCCCAATACTGTCACTATGGCGGTGTGTCAACTCACAGGATGATTGGCGCTGCACAATACTGTCACTATGGCGGTGTGTCCACTCACAGGATGAGTGGCGCTGCCCAATACTGTTACTATGGCGGTGTGTCCACTCACAGGATGAGTGACGCTGCCCAATACTGTCACTATGGCGGTGTGTCCACTCACAGGATGAGTGACGCTGCCCAATTCTGTCACTATGGCGGTGTGTCCACTCACAGGATGAGTGGCGCTGCCCAATACTGTCACTATGGCGGTGTGTCCACTCACAGGATGAGTGACGCTGCCCAATACTGTCACTATGGCGGTGTGTTCACTCACAGGATGAGTGACGCTGCCCAATACTGTCACTATGGTGGTGTGTCCACTCACAGGATGAGTGGCGCTGCCCAATACTGTCACTATGGCGGTGTGTCAACTCACAGGGTGAGTGGCGCTGCCCAATACTGTCACTATGGCGGTGTGTCCACTCACAGGATGAGTGGCGCTGCCCAATACTGTCACTATGGCGGTGTGTCCACTCACAGGATGAGTGGCGCTGCCCAATACTGTCACTATGGCGGTGTGTCCACTCACAGGATGAGTGACGCTGTCCAATACTGTCACTATGGCGGTGTGTCCACTCACAGGATGAGTGGCGCTGCCCAATACTGTCACTATGGCGGTGTGTCCACTCACAGGATGAGTGGCGCTGCCCAATACTGTCACTATGGCGGTGTGTCAACTCACAGGGTGAGTGGCGCTGCCCAATACTGTCACTATGGCGGTGTGTCCACTCACAGGATGAGTGGCGCTGCCCAATACTGTCACTATGGCGGTGTATCCACTCACAAGATGAGTAGCGCTGCCATAGGAATGTGCCTAAATGCCAACAGCGACTGCCCTGACAGGTACAAGAGGAGTGTTGTTAACGCATACGTCGACCGTGCTCTCAGCCACAGCTCAGAATGGAAGCAAGTCGACGAAGAACTCTGTAGGGTAAGGCAGGTCCTAGTCAATAACGGCTTCTCCAATGGTTTCATCGAAGACATCATAAGAAGGAAAGTGAAAAGCCATGCAACCTCTGAAGAGACAACTAACACAACACCTATACCCCCTATTAGACTATTTTACAGGAACTTCTTTTCCACAGCTCATAAAACGGAGGAAAGGGTCCTGAAAGATATTGTTAATAGAAACGTTATCCCTACAGACAAAAATCAGAGGATACAACTGACGATTTACTATAAAACCAGAAAAACGGCCAGCCTACTCATGAGAAACTCTCCAGACACAAAACAGAACGCTTTAAAAGAGACTAACGTCGTCTATGCCTTCAAATGCCCACTTGGGGACTGTAAGCTCCAAAAAACCCAGTATATAGGCAAGACAACAACATCTCTTTCTAGGCGTTTAACGATGCATAAGCAACAGGGCTCCATTAAGGAACATATAATCTCTTCCCATAACCAAACCATCGCCAGAGAAATCCTAGTAAACAACACAGAAATCATCGATAGATACAGCGATAGCAGGCGGCTTGACGTTTGCGAGGCACTACACATCAAGAAGTCAACACCAGCAATCAACAGCCAATTATTGCACAACTATATTCTACCCACCTCAAGACTCCGCTCCAATATAGAAGCATCAAGAAATATGGACCAATAGGCTTTCTACAAACACTTCTATTCAATACCTATATATATATATATATATATATATATATATATATATATATATATATATATATATATATATATATATATATATATATATATATATATATATATATATATATATATATATATATATATATTTATATATATAGGAAGGGAGTACCACCTCTAGCTGGAAGAAGGGGGACCCATAGCCTCGGAGGAAACCACGCATAACGCATTAGAGGGAATGTTTAGATCCCCTCCAATACAGTTTCTGTGTGCTTTTCTCCTACCACCCCCTTCCTTTTTTATTTTTTGTGCTTTATTATGCATTTGATGGTTACAAGATATACATGGGTTGATACAAAAATAATAATGCAAAAAGGTGCTTAAAGGTTATGGATCTCTTGAAAAACACAACAATGGGAAACATTGATGAATGTCACAGACGGGTTCGATCATTGTTGCAAGTCAAACACTTCTTCGAATTCCTCTGAAGTTGGACTAGTGCCCAAGACGCAACAGGCATTTCCCCTCTGAATCGCAACACTGAGGCGCTGGAACAAGAAACTTTTTGCTCTCTGGTCTTTTGTAGCGCTGATCAATTTGTCCCCCAATTCCTTCAGGAACTTCAATGCACATTTTCCCCACGAACCGAGGG